TACATTTATTTCATATTACATTTGATGTGTCACTGCCTCAGTTATTTACCGAGAGCATTCTGTGCATTCCGTTTCGGTTGAATCCTCATCGAGTTAAATAAGACCGATTGTTTACCTATTTCCATGGATGCTTGCACGGCTTTTATAATGCGCGCTCTTCAATTATTCACGGAGTCTACGATATTGATGCATAAAGATACAAATCGGTTAAGGGGAAAGAAAAAGTGTCAAAGCAGCACCGGTAATGCGAATATCTCGCTAAGTTGCTTTCCTAGTTGATCAGTAATATAATTCTCAACTCACTATCCACCGCACGCGTAAGACAGATTGGTTGCAAAATAATGGTGAAAACAGCACTCCAATGACTATTGGATCCCCTGAATCCAGGATTACCACGACGATTTATAACCAATACGGTGTCAAATAATTCCAATTTTAGCATTAGTTTCCAGCCTACCTACATCGTAGATACTAGTTCTCTGTTTTCATTTCGGTGTTTATAATGATTTTTTTGTTTCCGGTATTTTGAATATTAAACATTCACAAATCATTAGTTAGAATTTATCATAGCAATAAACCTGTACGCATTCATGTGAAAACGTGTTATTATAACCTGCAACGAATTTCGCTTAGGAGAACACTCAATGTTTCCGACGTGGGTTAGAATTACTACTGCAAACGTTCCTTCAAGTCATTTTTTATTCAATCCGGAATATAGAATGAAGTAATATCTTCGCTGATGGTAAACTGATAAACTCGATTTTTTGTGCTACATTGTCCCATGAAGTTTACAGTTTTTCTGTTTTGGGGTCTCTATGGATGGTGAAATTGTTTTTCTTCCATATTGAAGCATAGAAGACATGTGTATATGTTACAGATAGACAGCTTTGCTGTCGTCCGATTCACTATCATGCCTTACTCAACTGGGCATTGTGGGCTTCACCACTTCAAGCCTCGAGGCTTAGGTTACCGGCTTCCACCACTGAGCCGCAGGTCTTCGTGACTATAGGGTGCACTTTGTCTGCTGCTCGTCACAAAAGTGTACAATTTAAAAGAAAACAAGGGCAGTTGGTATTATTACTGACTAGTTTCCCCAAACCACACCAATTACTTTATGATCAATGCATATATTTGCTTGGGTATTGTCTACGTGCCTCGTGTAGTAAACTTTACTGTCAGTGCAATTTCATTCCGCTATGTCAGTGTCATGTAATTTGACTGAATCCGATCTGATCCAATGGAGGTTGAAGATAGGTAAGCTCGTAATACAAGGTGGAATGGCAAATTTAATTGGTTCAAACGTGTTTGTCTTTTTAGCGTTGATGTGCAGAATCACTTTTACAGCAATCTTCTCTTTTTTCTAGGCTCACGCAGTCAATAGCTGTTCAAGTCTTCTTGACGCGTCGGAAAATGAGACTTTGCATGCGCTTGTGGGTCGTGGCTGTCTTGCACTGGCCGTAGCAGTTGTGCGATTATATACAGTGAAAGATGTACATCAGTGGGTATACAAGTGCTTTGGTGTGGCCTGTTTTATACGGGATAAAAATGTGCGCGCTTTTTTTATTCGAGTGTTTGATATCATTGTAAGTCAGATATCATTCCTGGGCAATGACTTGATTGTTTTTAGGGCCATCAATTAATATTTGAACAGGAATTGTATCTAGAAATGGAGTATACCCGTCCGCTCGCTCAGTTTCACGTCATCCAGTCTGATGCTGGTCCGATGGGAATTTCGTTCGCCTCAGCAGATGAGGCACTGGCGTTCAGTAATCTGGTCATTCAGCGACTGCAACAACGTGCCGCAAGCCAAAAACAGGCCGGACCGGGTTATATCACGGCCGGTCCACAGAACACAGGCGTTTCCTTTATTCAAGCGGGGATAAGTGAACCAAATCGACCTGTCATTCCCGAATACCGATCGATTACTGTCAAGAACAAAAAGACTTCGAAAGGAAAGAAGGTTTGTCCTCGGTTTCGTTTTGTTTTGAATCTGACTAATAGTACTAATGAATCACCGTACTAAACCGAGTGTGCATAGTAAAAAATAGATTCAGTTCCTGTAATTACGCTGTTCGCATTTTACATTTATAGAAAAAAAGGATATATTCATTGGGTGAATTGGAAAGAACCACTGAACTGCAACCCATTCAAGTACACAAGCTACTAGTTGCTTGTCCACTTTGGACTTTTTGTGATCGGGAAGCCTTTAATAGGCTGTATAAAATATAATATCATTCAGTTCTTTCCGATTCATCCTGTATACTAAAACGGAATAGACCCTACCATCAGTGGGATAGGGCTTTCTTCCTAAAGGTCGCGTTTGTTCAGCTAATGTACTCTTCCAGCAAAAGGTTGCAATTATTTTTATTGGGAATCCATCCATTTTACGTTGATTTATTTAAACATTTCATGAATTATGGGCACCAGAGCTGTTTCTCTACATCACTGCTTCTTCGACATATTCCACTTTTTTCAGAGTACTCATCAAAATATCGTTCTCAGCCTATTTCCTCTTTCTTTCTTGTTGGGAATTGTTTTAGTTGTCCCTTTATTACTATATAGTAATTAGTCTATTACGGGAATGCGTAAATGACTCCGCATGGTCGTCTTGTCCTTGTATCAAAAAGTGTGCAGGGAAACAAAGAACGAAATTGTTATCTTATTCCACTGCATTTCTAAGATCTT